AATTAATAATATATTTGTAAATCTACCATCCTACTCAAAGACAAATATCTCACCTATTCTATAATTTCACTTTTCTTTCCTTGCATTTTTTTGGATTGATAAGTTTTATTATTCTATTTTCCATCTATTATGTTAGAACTTAACCCTATGACTATTTTTTATTGTTTAAGAAGCATGTTTATTTGAAAATTCACGTTGATTACCGGGGAAAATGACAAATTATGTTATTTAAGGGTGTTTTAAAAAATACTGCCTAAATATGAAGACCAAAAAGGTGACAATAAACAAGAAATACATCTAGAATGGAGGGAGAATTTAGCTGTCCCCTGCCCAGTGCTGTGTTACTAATACTAAATTATCCAGCTATAGCATAAGATCTTCATATACGGTAGTGTTAGAATTATATGAAAATTCCAAGAGAAATAAATATCTGTTTTTATAATAGATACATTTTTATCAATTTAGTGCTCGTTTAGACACTATGTAGACTTTAGGTAACTCCTGAGGGTAAGATTTACTTTGGGACCTAGACTATGGTCAGTCGTGGTCAGTGTTTCATATGCACCTTACAGTAAGGCATCCATCACTATGGCTCTTAATGACGTCTCTCATCCCAGTATAACATTAGTTTGACATTTCCATCGTCTTCCAGGACAACACAAGCATCCTAGATCCCTTTGACTCCACTTATCCTTTCTCAAAACCTATGCCATTCTTGTCATGAATTTGAGTCATCTTCTTTACATCCCACAAAACATCACCCTGTAATTATACACTGGTATTTTCCCATCTACTTAATCTTCTCATTCTTGGTTTTCTACTTCAAATCATCTTATTTTTGCCTGAAGAACACAACTTGTGACAGATTCTTTCAGTTTTTATTTGTTTAAAAATGTCTTTATTCACCTTTACTCCGTGAAGGACATTTTACTGAATAATAGAATTCTATTTTCTTTGGCACTTTAAAAAATACCGTTCCATTGTCTTCTAACCTCCATAGTTCCTGCTGAGAAGTCAGTTTTACATCGAATTATTCCTCTTTCAAAGAAGCTCTGTCTTTTCTATTTGCTTCCAAGATTTTCTCCTTGACTTTTGCTTTCAACTATTTTACCTTAAAATGCCTAGTGTGGACTGTGTCCTCCCAAAATTCTTTTGTTGAAACCCTATCTCCCAATGGGATGATATTAGGAGGTGAGGCCTTTCGGGGGTGATTAGGATTAAGGGAGGTCATCAGGATGGAGTCTCCATAACAGGATTAGTGTCCTTACAGGAGTTGTGAGTGAGCTGGCCTCCTGTCTTTGCTCTCTGCCATGTGAGGATATAAGTCTGAAGGCAGCAATCTGGAAGAGGGCCCTCATGGGAACTTGACCCTGTGCCACTCTGATTCAGACCTCCAGCCTCCAGAAGAGTGAGAAATGAATTTCTATTGTGTGTAAGCCCCCCAGTCCATGGTATTTTGCTATAGCCTATTGAATGGACTAAGCAAGTGTCTACGTGCAGTTTTCTTTATATTTATCCTGTTTAGAGTTCACAGGGCTTTTTGAATCTATGCCTGGATGTCTGTTGCCAGTTTTGGAATATTTTCTGCTGATATCTTTTCATATATTACTTTTGCTCCATTTTATCTCTCCCTCTCATATTCCAAACATACTCATGTTAGAACTTCTTACCATTTTCCCAATATCTCTTACTCTTTCCTTTGTGTTTTCTCTCTGGATATCTCCTTACACTTTGGCCTGAATATTTCTTCTGATGTTTTTTGCTTCATTAATCTTCTCTTCAGCTGTGTCTAATCTGCAGATAAATCTGTCCATTGAGCTCTTAATTTTGTTTGTTATATTTTTCAGTCCTAAACTGCCCAATTAATTCTTCTTTAATCTTCCAATCCTCTGTCAAAATCTTGCATTTAATGTGCTCAAAGACAGTGAGCATAATTATGATAAAATCTGTGTCCGATAACTCTATTACCTGGAGCCCTGTGGGTCTTTGATTATCAGCTGCTCCTCCTCTTGATTTTTATTTACCTTGTTTTGTCCCTCCAGTCATTTTCAGTTGAGTGCTGGACATTGTATATAAAAGGAGATGTAATCTGAGGTCTGGTATATGATACCTTCCACTGGAGAAGAGTTACGTTTGCTTCTGGCAGGCGACCAAGGACACCAGCAATCTGGCATCACCTTAACCCATTTACACAGAGTGACATTATTCAAAGGTTGGCACTGGTCTCTGTAAGGGCACATCAACTGAGTGACCCGGTGTCCCACACAGACCCTCCTCCCTGTCCCCCTGGCACCACCCTGGTGAGGGCCCCGTGGCCATGATGAGCACGTGACGCAGAGGGCTGGGACCATGCCAACGACAGCAATAAGAGCAACTATGTTTTGCCTCTTTGGGGACAGGGCTCTCATAGAGCCTGCACCCTGCCTGACCTCACATAATCTCACATAATCCTCTCAACAACCCTTGGATAGGATGTAGGTAACACAGCTGTCCCATTTTCGAGAGCAGTAAACCTCAGAGAGGTTGTATGCTTGTCCTAGAACGTCAGCCAGTAAGCCGGAGAAGCCTTGATTCAAACTGACAATCCAGGGCAGCCAGGCTCCGTTACAATGCCGGGCTCAGCTGTCCCTAGAAAGTCGTTTTTGCACTCCTTTCCAGAACATCGGTTCTCCCATGCAGCAAAGAGGCTGCAGTCACATGATTCTGTTTCCCCACCTGTAAAGTGGGGACAGTGACAGCGCCCACTTCTGGAGATGTTGTGAGGATCAATGTGGACGCACTTAGGGCAGCGTCTGGGTGGGGTCCTAGAGAGTCAGGGCAGGGCTCTTCGGATTTGAAGAAGGAGGAAGCAGAGAGCCATCAGCAACGAAGGGGACATGAAATAAACAGGGAAGGACTGGGTCAGGTGGGCTGCAGAGACTCTGCCCACCACCTGCAGGGTCATGTTTCATGTGCTCAGGGTGTAACCCCACAAAGTCAGCCCCAAGGATGCTCTGGCCCTGGGATGTGGAATCTGCAGATCGGGTGCTTCTCGGGCCTGCCTGCTGTGGGGTTGGGGGTGCACGTGTCCTAAGGACTAACTGCAGTCGCCCTTTCTGGAGGATTCGGGGATTAACTGCATCAGAAATGCTTCATTAACATGCCTGACAAAAGGTGTCGTTATTTTTATTTTCTTTTTACTTTTTTAAAGATTTTTTTTTTGATGTGGACCATCCTCAAAGTCATTACTGAATTTGTTACAGTATTGCTTCTGTATTATGTCTTGGTCTCTTGGCCGCGAGGCATGTGGGATCCTAGCTCCCCAACCAGGGATCAAACCCACACCCCTGCATTGAAAGGCAAAGTCTCAAGCACTGGACCACCAGGGAAGTCCCTATATTTTTAATTAATGCCTTTTATCTGAGGCCACCCACGGGCGTTAGGGAGCCCTACTCCTTGCCCACAAGGCGCAGTTTTTGCATCACAGTCAGGGATGTAAGCCTTCCCACTGCTGCCCCTGGCCTGGCTGCCGACAGGGAGGGGCCCCTGCGTGGGCCACGCTGCCTCTCACCAGGGTGTGATTTGTCATGGTCATTCGGGAAGGAACGGAAAACCACATCCATCTGTCTCAGGGTTTTCAACACCCCAAGGTGAGGCTCACGATCTGGGGGGCGCCCGTTAGAAGCGCGTTTGAACACCTGGTTCAGCACACCCGCGAGGGCACTCAGGACGTCCTTCCCGACGGGGTCACTCACCACCAAGATAAGCCTATCCACCGAGTCACCACTTTCCCTTTTCTCACCAAAACCACCTCTATGTTGTTTAACAAGACACATGAAACACAGCCCCTGTTTACCAAAGTGGGTTCCTCGGAACAGCTATCTTGTAAGATGTCCCATTAAGAAGGTTCCTTGGTCAAACAGGTTTGGGGAAACTTGCAGACTGTCTCTCACTGAGGTTCACTGAGCCCTTTAGTCCTGTGAGGTTCTGGGCAAATTTGCAGAAAGGGATCTGGTCAACTTGGTCTAACCCTCTACTTCCCTCGAACCCTTTTCCGAGGGAATACCCACAAACGCTGTCCCCGATGGCCTGTCCTGCTTTAACCGGTGTGTTTCTTTTGCTGGTGAACCGCATACACATCATAACACTGATGACCTGAGGCCTCCTGTTGACTGTAAGGGTGTCTCCCTCCCCACGGGTCCACCCTTCATGTAGGTGGACGTGTGTAGCTGGACCCGTCATGCAGGTCAGCTGGGCAGCAACTTCTCTGCTGACCGGGGAGCCCTCACGCGGAGGCCAACGCAGCTGCCGAAACACGGGACGGGCAGAGGTAAGCAGACCTGGTCCCCCTCAGGCATGGGAAACCTAATGTGGGGATTTCTGGGGGCTGAGGGGTCTGGTCCTGGATTCCTGGGGCCTGTGGGGCTGAGAGGCCTTTCAGGACCAGGGGAAGTGAATTCACCCCTCCTGTCCGGTCAACAGGGCCACGCAACCGAGTCAGAGGTGAAGCTGGAGGGAGGGCTGCGGAGGCCGGTGACAGTGGCTGGTGTGTGTCTACGTGAAGGGTGCCATCCCTCCCCCTCCCTCCCCCTCCCCCCTCCCCCTCCCCCCCCTCCCCCTCCTCCCCCTCCCCATTTCCCTCTCTCTGAATCAGTCTCACGCCAGCTACTCTGGCCACCTCGCAAGGCCAGCCACGTGGCCTCTGTCTTACTTCTTGTCCCTCTGGGTCTTGGGGGCCTCTGGGGCTGGTGGGCTACAAGCCTCAGGCAGGAGAGGTGCCCGGTGAGAAGCGGGGCTGTGGGGCCCTTGTCCGAAAAAGGGTGCTGACAGCTGTGCACTACACTCAGCGGGGGTGGAGCCTGTGGGCAGCCCTGTCTGGGAAGGTGGGAGGCCAGGGGTCCCCCTCCCGGCCCATGCCGCCCACTCAAGTGTCAGCCTCTGCAGAGGTTCTGCTCGGTGACCTGAAGGAGGAAGGACCCCTACCCAGCCTCCCCGCCCCCCCGCATGTAGTCACACCTTACCTTGTGTCCGGACCGCGTGGGTGAGGTCTGGGCCACCAGCAGCCGTACCGCGGCGTCCCAGCGCTCGGCCGTCTGGCGGTCCCACGCGGTCACGGTGAAGGCCACCTGCTCGGAGGGGATCTGCAGCTCCCGGGTGGCGAAGACCGTCCCGTCAGCCCCGACTTTGAAGTCCATGCTGTCGGTCTCATAGTGTGTCCCCTTGGTCCCCAGGCAGCTGCTGAACTTGACTGCAAGAGGAGGGGGAGAAGGTCAGGGCGCTGGGGACCAGCCTGGCGGGCAGGCGCCCACTCACAGCTTATTTCCAGCAGCGGGTCCTTGGTCTCTAATGAGCTTCGAGAAAGTGGTGATTTAATTGACTTTTCGACCTTCAGGTACTGGGTTTTATCTCTACCCCGTAGGGAATTAGCTGAGGCCTTAGGAAAAGGAACATCGACCCCAAGCAATGAATGCATGTTCATTCGCTCTGAAACACAGCTGTTCTCACTTCTGCAAACGCGTCTCCCCGTCACTATCAACTTTGGGTTCAACCTGAGTCTGAGCCCTGCGGGGGGAGGAGTTTCTTTACCCTCAACCAATTCCCTGGTGACCTTGGGGCAGCCAAGAGCTTTCTCGGTGACTTGGAAGCAGGCGTGGAAGGTGGATGGTCTACTGCCATTGCAGGGCAGGCACGTTGCTGTGCTTCCCAAACAGTAATTAGGCAGTGAACTGTCAGCCCCTCCCAATGACTCCATCACCTGGACCGTTGGTAAACCCCCTGCAGGAAAAGGCATCTCGGAAGCCGCGCATTCACCGGCACCACATCAGTGCCTTTTTCACACGTGTGCTCTCGCAGCTGCCACCTAATGTGGTAAATTACGAGGCGCCAACAGCCAGTGTCACATTCTGCTGATACAAACGACGGATAAAGTTACCTGGTGTTTATAGAAGTGTGGGTATCTCAGCAATCATGGTGGGACGGTTGGTGTTTTTAAGCAATTTCACTGTCACGAAATTACAGCTTACATGATTTAATTACTACTTATTCGAGAAACGAAAAAGAGCTCCTCACTGTTAGGTTTGATAAGTGTTTGCCCCTGCGTTCACCTTTTATTGTTGGCTGCCTTGAAATAATAAATAACAGAACGTTCCCTTGTTTCAGCTCCTTCACTTCAGACTCTCCCCAGTCCCCAGCAACCCCCACGTGTTGGTTTAATATAAAAATGTCTTTAAATTGAGGAAACCAGACATTTCCGTCTGTGTACAGACTCCAGAGCTCGCAGACAGGGGTCCTCGGGTGGATGAGGGCAGCCAAGGTGAGGAGTGCGCTGTGGCTCCAGGGAAATGCCCCCCTAGTGGGGGGATAATCACATTCTTTTTCCAGTGACAGGAAAATTCCAAGCTGCCTTTGTAGTCCTGTCCTCCCCGTCGGTAAACAAATTAAAATCAGCAAAAAACTGAGTGGATCAATTATTTCTGATGCCCGACTGTCGTTGACAAAGATAAAAATGACAGTCCTATGACTGCCGGGAGATTAGCACAAAGTACATGAATAAGCCCTTTGTTCTCTGAAAGAAGATTTCTAATAACATGAATGGGATTGGACGGTAGTGGGAGGGTCTGAGTTTCTTCAGGATTAAGTGATGGTGTCGTTGTATTTTTTAAAAAAACAGGCGCACAGCTTTGGTGGCATTTGAGGGAAGTGTGGACATTGCTGTCAGAGAAGAAAATCACCCTCATAGGAGCTGCCCCAACAGGAAGGTCGGAGTACCGTCCACAGGAGCCTGGGACCTTGCAGGGGACAGGCGTCCTCAGTGGACGGGAGCCCTCAGGACATTAAAGGTGGCACCACCAGACGTGACCTGTGATGATAAAGTTGGGCCTCTCCTCGCAGCTGCTCTTAACATCGTTCCAGCCTGGGTCTGACTCGGGCCCTCCACGCGAGGAGGCATGGGGGCCTTGGGACAACGTGGAACCCAGCCTCCAGCTTCAGTGTGACTGAGGCTTGGCTGATGGCTCAACCCAACAGGTTGGTTTCACCACCACGTCTGAGACTCCGAGCCCTCGTCAGTGAGGAAGCAGGAGCTGGAAGGTGCCTGCGGGGAGATGGGGGCCGTTCCGAGTGCCCGCGGTGCTGGGGTGCCAGCTTTCCAGAAGGAAGGGAGTTCAAAACAGTGCCTTCCTGTGCGCGCCTGGGCTGTGTCTCTCTTTCAAAGGGAAAGATCAGGAAGGTTTGTTCTTCTGAGACACCAGGGGCGTTCACGGCGCTTCAGCTCTGAACAAATGAACTCCCGTTTGAAACCCTGAGGAACGTGGGTTTAAATTTCTCAACATGCAAACACTGCTCAGGTTACAAACACGACGTCTTGCCATAAAAATGGGAAGTGACGCAAGAGGGAGAAGATATGGGGATATATGTATACATATAGCTGATTCACTTTGTTGTACAAAAGAAACACACCATTGAAAAGCAATTATACTCCAATAAAGATGTTAAAAAAAAAAAGGGAAGCGAGCACTTGAGGGGCAGACTCTCCAGAGACGCGTCTGAGGTCTTGGGGCAGGAACGGTTCCTGTCACCCAGAAGCCCATTTGCCTTTTTCTGGTGAATTGCCCCAAGGCAGTTTCCCTCTTCGCTTTGGCCACCAGGAAGCTCAGAGGCAACGTGGTAGCTGGGACCTAGCAGTGCTGAGGCATTTACCAACCTTAGCACTTTCTGCCCAATTTTCTATCTTTGTTTCCTCTGCAACCCACTTTCCTCCTCTTGCTTCCTTTTTATTTCTGGAGTCTGCCTCTATCTCTGCAGGTTAAACGTCATCCTCTTTTAGGGGCAAGGGTGCTGCCAGGCCGTCGCATGCTCACAAGCTCCTGTGCGGGCCAGGCCGGGTGCTGTGGTCCCAGCATGAGGGTCCGAGAAGGTCTTCCACACTTCGTGGGGAGAAAATGCCTGCTTGGATGTGCAGGCCCCGGGCTCACAACCTCCTTCAGGCTCCACCAGAGGAGATCTGCTTGGAGGGAGACAGAACCTCCTTCCCTCCGAGGCTGGGATGTGGGGCCTGCCGGGCGCTCGTCACCCACCACCCAGCCCTGCTGTGCGTCTCTGCGGCTTGCTAACTACTTCCACTAGTTTTAAAAAAACGTGACAAGAGATGGGAGGACTCCCGAGAGAAATCAGGTCCAGTTGGTTAAACACACACAGTCACAGCCCCTGCTGCCTCGTCCCCTCGGAGGGGTGGCGGCCGTGGCTCCTGGGCAGCCAGCGCCGGGGGAGGCCGGCTGGGCCCTGGGGGCAGGACTCAGCACACCTGCCCGAGGGCGGGGTCCCGGGAGGGTGGGGAGGTGTATGCACTGATGCCTGCCGAGGAGGAGGGCAAGCGTGAGCTCCGGGCGCAGGTGTGTGCTGCAGCCATGCCCACACCGGCAGGCCCCTTCGGGATGGGGCTGGGACGCCAGCTGTGTGACCCGGCCAGCAGTGGCCTCTCTGAGCACAGGCCTCTGGGAGCAGCAGCAAAGGACGGACGGGGCCAGCGCAGCGTAGAGGCTGGATGAACACAACTTGTCTTGCGCTCCGGCCAGTACCCATGTCACCCACCTGAGGAGACAGGGAGCAGAGCACTGGGCCAAGGTCACACGAGGCTGTTCACCCCACAAACATTTATGGGCCCCCTGGTGCCTGGCTCTGGGGATCTACCTAGGAACACACAGCGGAGGCTCCGGGTGGGAGGCGACTGGGAAATGGCAGCGCAGATGGTGGACTGGCACAGGCTTGTACGGGGTCACAAAGAGGGCCGGCCCAAGGGGTGGGGAGGGGAGCCCTGCGGGATGTGTGGGGTCAGCCAGCACTTGGCATTCTGACCCTCTCGCACGACTGGGGGCTGGCTCCCCCTCCCCAGCCCAGGCCTGGCCCCCAGCGCCCGCCTCTCCCTTTGGACAGGACGGATTCCGGTTCCAAGCCCTGTTCATCCCGAGGAGCCGTCCAGAGAAGAATGGATACCCGCCCGCGTCTGCGCTGCTCCTGAAATGTGACTCGACGCTGCGAAGGCCCAGCATTTAGAGCGGCAACAGCACCGTCCATGGCTATGCGAGAAGCACACGTGAGACCAACGCCCAGGAACGCGTCCAGCAGGACACGGTGGGAAGGCCATGAACCGTGTGCAGGACTCCGTCTTCCAGGGGCCTCCCCCCTCCCCCCTCGCCGTGAAATCGGGAAGCAGTGTTGAGGCTGATCGGCAGCCTGGGCTGGCTAGCCTCGGGCTGGGGCGCTGCCCATCCAGATGAAGGGCAGGGGCGCACCTGGCTGGCCAGCTGTCATCGAGATGCATTTTCCTTCGCGCTGCGTAAATGTTAGTCTCTGTCTGTCATCCTGGTGTCCCTGCCGACACGTCCCCTGAGGGCCCACTGAGTTATTGCTGGAACCCCCGTGGCCTCCCCTGCCCCAGGGCTGCCCCCCGATTCTTCCCCTGGTGGAACCCCTTGCCCTGTGGTGAAGGCAGCTGCACACGCAGAGCTCCCGGGGCACCAACGTCCATTCGTGTTGGTTTATGGACACAACAGTCAGCAAAAAGCACAGTGACCGTCAGATGGACTCAGAGTGGGAGTGAGTTGTCACACTGCGGATGCGGCTCCCAGGGGCTGGCGGGGGGCAGGGGGCTCTGCGTGAAGGAAGGAGGCCGGTTCTGAGAGAGCCTGACCCAGATGTGCGGCGGGAGGGCTTCCCGAGGATGAGGTCCTGGTGCTTCTGCTGAGCACCGAGGGATGCAAGAGGAGAGCTTGGGCAGGGGAGAGCTTTCAAGGCCACACGGCAGCACGTGCAAAGGTCCTGAGCAGAGGGAGTGTGGGGTGTCAAGGACTCAGAGCCAGTGTGACGGGAACCAGGCTGCTGGGGTGAACAAGAGTCAAAACAAGCGCACAGGAAGGTCCTCAGCCAGTGGGATGACCTGCAGACTCCAAGAGATGGGCAGGGCTAGGGAACTCCCCGCCAGGAGGGAAGGGCCTCCGTGTCGCTCCAGGGGTTTCTAGGAAGGTCCAGCAGCCTGTGGCGCTGAGGAGGCGTCCTGAGCGGATGTGACGGCCTCCCTTTGGGGCCAATGTTAAGAGAAGGTCATAGCCTTTTCCAGCCATAAAAACACCCAGTGAACTGAGTTAGGTGTCCACCGCTGTGACTTCAGAAGTACGTCCTCCAAATTTAGCTACAGTGGATCACAGGACTCCTGCACACACTTCTGCTTGGGAGAGAGAAATTCAAGAGCCA